GCGAGCGCGGCCGCCGCGGCACCGCCCCCTCCCGCCCCGCGCGCCGCCCGCTATCGCGAGAGCAGCGGGCTCGCGGCGGGAGGAGGAGCGAGACTTGGGGGCGCTGAGGGCGGGCGGRCGGGAGGGGATGGTGSGTGCTCTGGGGACGGGGTTCAGGTAGAGCTGTCCCGGCTAGGGGTGACCCCTCCGGCCGGAACAACCTCTGCGTCCATGGCAGGGCTGCCTCACAGGAGGCAGTAGAGGGAGGTGTGATGCGCCATGTGGGAGAGTCACGMGGGAGTGAGGGCAGCGTTTCTGTCCCACAGAGTCCGTCTCCGTCCCTGGCGATATTCCAGAGCCGTCTGGATGCAGTGCTGTGCCACGCGCTCTGAGGCGACCCTGCTTGAGCACAGAGGTCCYAYCACATRATCACTGTGGTCTCTTCCAGCCCRAACCGTTCTGTGACTCTGCCATTCTGAGATTCTACAATTGTGCGATTCTGTGAATCACAAACCAGGCTGGAAGGGGTCTCGATGGTCATCAGCTACAGCCTCTCTGCCCAAGCAGTGTCGCGTCACAGCGAATGGCCCGGCACTGCATCCAGATGGCTCTGGAGTATCTCCAGGGAGGGACACTCCCTCTGGAGTTGCCCAGACAATCTCTGGGCAACCTGAGTACAAGTGTGTGGTCACCCACAGGGTAAAGTTCTTCCTCATATTCTGGTAGAACTTTCTATGCGTCATCCTGATCCSTATCAGGATCAGCTCAGATGTCGAGCAGAATCCAGCTTCCCTGTCAATAAACCCTTTAATTGTCCCTGAAAATCTCGGGTGAATGCAGGACCTTGCCAGTGATGTCATACATAGACGATAGCATTGGAAAAAGAGCACACAGTGGGATCCAAGCCCCAGCCCTGCAGTGGTCAGGTGAGTGAAGCATCTTTGGGCGTCCCTCACCCCTCCACAGGAACTCTGAGCTGCAGGAGAATGTTCACCAGCTGTGCCCCTCYCCTTCTTATCGGGTGGATTAAGATGTAGTTCACCATCTTCTCGGCAGAAAAGACAAACCTTCAGAGATTCATTACCTCAAGGAGTGATCAGAGAATATAATTATCTTGTGTATTATTTCAATAATTCATACCCTCTTGGCATTTTTGTCTTTGCACATTATTTCCTGAGGGTTTAAGTTAGCAGTTTGTGCATTCATTCTTCACAAAAGCAACTTCAAAGTTTGGGGTTTTTTTCTTCACTGTTATGTAGTCAGGAGCCTTGCTGCTGCTGCAGAAAAAATAACTCATTTTTCCTTTTTACCAAGCTGAAAAGGCTTATACATCTTCAACCAGGAAATCTAATTGTATAAATATTCTATTTATTTTGTACAAAGACAACAAAAGTATACTTTCCAACGATTTATTGAGGTAGAAGAGTGGGGGCATTTTTAAGTAATTATTACTGTTTAAATGCTTGCTGAAAACWATTTCAGGATGCTGGATTAGTCACAAAGATCTTTTTCCATCATAATTATATATGCTAGGGATGGACAACCATGTGGAACTTCCCAGCTGGGAATTCTGCTCTAACTAAATGTAAATAATGYAAATTTATGGAATCTTGGCATCCTTGCTAATGTGAGTCTATTAGGATGGCACGGTGCCTCATCATAATTTGGCTGGATCTTCGCCCTGTTGCAACGCAGATGCCAATTAGTTATTTGTTGGTTATGGCCTGTGGGACACCTTGCTCTGGCTCACACCTGTTTGCTTCATGTGCCAGAAAGGAATTCAYGCATACAGGAAGAAAAGTCACTGTGAGGATGTGGATAGCATTACCTGTCTAACATACTAAACAAATAAACATATTAGAAACAAATCTTCAGTTGTTAGACAGAATTGCAAATAACTGCCTTCTGGTTCTGTATTTTAATAAAAAAATTTAAAATCTCTTTCATCTCTCCAAATCAAAAAGTCATTTGGTGGTTAATAGGACATTTTACTTGTGAAAAGATTGTGTTTCATTTGCTTCTGGCCTATTTCCTTCTCTGTTTAATCCCTGTTTAGTATTTTGGACTCAAAATGTCTTTCCAATATTTTTGAAACAAAAGAACAGTGAGGTTTCGTGTTAACAGAATAGGAAAAATACTCCTCATTTTACTGTTTCTCTCATATTTTTTCCATTTACACTTGTCACTGAATATGACCTGAATCTGCAGACCAGTCTGAGTGACCTGATTTTTCTTTTCCATATGAGCTGGTTTTCTGAACTTTATTTTTCTCAGYTTTAAATAAAACTGAACAAATCATGACAGGCTTTGCAGGGAAAAGGGGTACAGATGAACAAGGCAGAGCCCAGTGTGGTGCCATATCTATGCTCATGGTGTTTGTCTCCAGAAATCTTCYCTCACATCAAAAAAAGACAGAAGAATAATTAATAAAGGCTTATAAAGGGGGTGATTCTTATGTTATCTAAACTGACTAACACAGAGCAAGGCACCACAGTGTAGGTCATGTGCTGATATTCAGTTAATGCAGTTTCTCTTTGCAGTTCCAGATATTTCCCTGACTTTCATCTTGCATTTTCTCCATTACAAAGGTCTCAGCATGCTCGAAGGTAGCTGGAATGACAGTATCAGGAAAAATTCCCTTCCATTCCTCTCTAGCTGGTTTAAAGGAACTTTGGTAAGGCAGAACACAGTCTACTCCACAATATTTTCTGGAATGACAAATTCCTCTGCAACATTTTTATGACTGCTTAGCGCRCAGCTACAGCAATAATTCCTGGAGCTGGAGTAGAGATATGCAGCCAAAAGCTGTGAGGTTCAAACCTCTTTATTCCAAACAGAATAGAAAATGCTAAATAGTAGAAGTCATTCTGCTGGGCAAGGGAATYTCCTCTTCAAAATGAAATACTTAATCATTTGAATTTCTATTAAATTTGACCATTTGGCAAAATCAATGCCACACATAACACAGCTGATCACCTGTTTCCACTGTTTCCAAGGCAGAGCTGCATCACTAATGCCACCAAACAAGTCTATCACTGCATCCTGTCATTTGTCATTCCACTCACACTGTATACACAACCTTCTTTCTCAGTATTTGTGCTCTGTACGAGACAGAGGAAATGGCTTTGGTTGTTCTGCATGTGAATCTGTCACGCACTTTCTGTTAGTGACCCAGTTCTAATGGTATTCACAGACAAGTTTTGGGGCTTACAGTGGAATACTAATGTCTGCCAGTTGGGAATGTGCAGTCAGGCAGGAGGAAGGCACAGGACTGCRGCATGTGGTGCTGTACCTGCACAGAATGTCAGTAATGACAAGTAATTAACAGGCTGCATGTCATCACCGTGACTCCTGCCTGTTTCCCCAACTCCACTGTGACAGCATTCTTTCTTCAAGATTCACAAAAAAAAAAAAAAAAAACCCACAGCATAATACAAGCAGAGAATACCAGTTATAAGCAAAATAAAAAATACAGGTAATAAAGTAGTCCACAGAGCCTAGCAGGCTAGTGAGATGTGCTGGGCAAAGCTCTGACTGAGACTAATCCGTTACTCTTTACAGAATGAGGCATCATTTTGTTCACCAAAGTTCAAGATCCCTGTCCCAGCCCTGCCAGGCTGGCAATGCATGCTGCCTGCACAGCACAGGAGTGCAACCATGGAGTACACCTCCCCATCACCACCCCCAGGCCCCAGGAAAATGGTAAGAAACMATGGATTTTCCAAACAAACATGGGAGAATTACTAAGTCCGGGACCTTGACACGGTCTAGGTAAATTTACTCATGATGTGGATCTAGTGAGGTCTGCTATTTGAGAATCACAGATTATTCTGAGTTGGAAGGGACCCACAAGGATCATTAAGTCCAAGTCTGAAGTATTATACCATATATTGTTCTGATGCATCTTCACTGGAAACCACCACTATTAGTGGTATTCTAGACAGACCAATGAAGTAAACCAACTGACACTTGGATGGCCATTATTAGATCTAGATATAACAAAATTCCAGTTCATAACTGGATATGATTTGCTTTCCAATAGTTATTTTCCTTCTTTTTATACCATGAAGGACATGTGTCCCTGTTCACGGGATGCAATATGTCAAAGTGACAGCTCTGCACTGCTCTAACCTTGTTCTAGGTATCATATTCTGATATGGAAGCAGAAGATATAAATATGCAAATATGTAATAGAAGTTAAAAATTATGGCTGTGAAATATGAGAGCTTAGTGCAATAGTTAACAGCACTTCCTAGCAACAAAACCTCATCAAACACATTAGAGCYTTAAAGTGAGGAAGAGACTAGTGAATGTGCTGCTTTCACTGTCAGCTTGGACTTGATTGTACAGCAATTGCCACAGCAGAGCTGTTACCGTGGGTGTTAACAGAGAACAAATTACATATGCACTTAAATATGTATATTTGTGTGTATTTCTGAAAGGTCCAAAAAGAGCAGCACATTAGGAAGGGAGAGGTATTGGCCAGCAGGAGTGGACTCAGATCCTAACTGTTGTCACCCTCTCTTTGGCACTCAAACAAAGATGAGATTTGAGAAGGGTCAGTGGGAGGATTACACATGGTTCTACCGTTACTTACGGAAACAGCTCCCAAATAGGAGATGACAAATACCAAACAGCAGCCATGGAAATCCRACAGGTGTGCTGTGAAGGCTGGCACTGGGATACTTCAAGAGACTTAAGATGTCTGTGTTGAAAGGCAACAGTCAAAGAGGCCATAGATAGCTGAGAAGGGATTTGGAAGCAAAAACAAGTCTTGGTTGATACAACAGAGAGCAGAGCCATTTGAGAGCTGCAGAGAGAGAGATGACAATGTAAACAAAGGTACTGGGCAAAAAATACCTGTTTCATGAGTGTTGTGGTCAATTTTCTAACCACAGAATCATCACAGGACAATGAGTCAAGCTATCTAAAATTA